TTGCTTAGACTCCTTCATAGGTTCTGGTGAGGCTCAAAGGGCACAAAAGACAAGAAAATGTTCAGTAAACCAGAAAGACCCAGCCTTATACTTAGTCTCAGTCAGAAGCCAAGAAGGAGAATTGTCTAGTTAAACCAAGTTCACACAGTTTACTTGCTTGTTGTTGCCACAGATGTTTCCAGGTTAACCCAGGAGCCTGTTAAGATTAAAGGTGCCCTGAAGCCACCTTTAAAACTGGCTCCTGGCCTAGAAAGTTAGTAGTAGGTGGGCTAGTCACAAAACCCTGTTCCTAGGCAGCCCAGAGGCCTGTCCCTGTGGGGAACGCCAGTCCTGCTAGTGGAAGGATGGGCTGTGTCACACAGTTCCCCTTCGTGAAGACAAGAGGGGACTGACTCAGTTGAGCTTGGTCCATGTGCTGGGTGGGTAAAGCTTACAAGTAACTTTTAAGATATGTTATTTGCCAAACCACAGCTCATCTTCCATTAGTTAGGAGTGGAATGTGAGAAAAGAAAACCAACTTAAATCCTCTCCTTGTACCTCAGACTAGTGTAGTAAGCAGATGAGGAGAATCTAGAACACAGTGGTGAGAGATGAGAACAACTGCCTTCACCAACTCCCATATAACGGGAGAGGACAATGATCAGTTCCCAAAATGTGAACAGAATTGAACCAGCCAATTACATTTCAGAGTAGGATAAGGGCTTGAAAGCTCCCAGAGGGAGTGGTAAGAGAAATGGTACCAAGGTCAAAGCTTCCCAGACCATCTCTTACCGCTCCCTTTCTTTCCTTCAATACTCCCCATCCTTTACCCCCACTCATCTTGAAATGATCTATCTAAAAGAGTAAATTAATGAAATTTTGTAGATGCCTTCTATCTCTCCCCCTGTGGATGAATACCACCTTCCAATCTTATTAACCTCTATTTTCACAGTGCCACAAACACTGGAAAGCTTCAAGTCACTTCTTTTAATGGAACTGAGAGCCTTGTACCTTACTCATTTCTGTTCAACCTCCAGTTCCTAGTCCAAAAGGTACACATTCTAACAACTTTTGTGGATACTTTAGTCCCTCCAAATCACAAATATTATACTTCAGTTTTCCTCTTAAACCACCTGAGCAGGCCACTGCAGGGGGCCAGAGGCTTTTTGAATTGTTTTGATGTTTTTTTATATCCTGTTTTGCTTCAACAGAAATGTTCACCATAGTTTCTGGCCATCACCTCTTCCCCTAATATTATACCCCATACTTCAGCCTAAAACATCAACAGACACATTACCATACCCTTCCTAAGCCTTCTGTCACAGTTCCCAATACCTCTCTTCAGAAACTGACAGCAGAATAAGGACCTGAACACAAGAGACAGATGTGGGCCCAGCTCCCCCACCCAACAGTAGGTTTGGCTCAGGCAAGTTGCCAGTTTTCCTGGTGCTCTGAATGATCCCCAAAGGCCCTTTCTAGGTTCTAAGGACTCTGGAATAGTCTCAGGAATAGGACAGGCCCTAAAATACTTCCTTAGAAAGGATTAGTCAACAAAAGTTCTGACTGGAAGGGAGAAATGTGATGTCTGTCCCCACTGTTCTGCATGAGCAGCCCTTTCATCTCCATCTTCCAATAGCAATTCCTAGCATCTATCTCCCTCTGCACTGCAGCAAACCAGGAGAGTCCACTTGGCCACTGGAGCTTAATCAATCATCAGCACATTTGTATGGGCCATCCGTACACAGTGTTCCTAAAGTACTTTCCAAAAATAACAAATGTCTAACAAAAAACCAGTCTCCACACACATACACGGATCTCTGCAGAGCTGCAGGAGCCCAGAGAGAAAGAGAAAAGATGCAAAGAGCGGACAGAAGGGGAGGCCCGCCATAAATTTCAAAGCTGAAGGCAGAAAACCACTTCCCAGGGATGATCTATGACAAACATTTCACTTCCCACCCCTCTGTCTCCTCATCAGTAAAAAGAAATAGTACCTGTAAAGAACTCAAGGGAGTTTGGGGCCACAGAAAGGACTGGCCAGAGGCTCTGGTCTGTCTAGGTAGTAGCTGGGGCTTCTTGGGCAAGTTATTTCAGTTCCCATGTATAAATGGAACACATGATACTCATGTCACTGAGTTATTATGGAGTAGAAAAGAGAAAAATCATGACACAGGATAATCTCATGAAACTGGGCAGTCAGGTTAGTCCTGGCAAAGGTCCATTCCCATTCAAACAGATTGTAGCAAAACACCCCCCCCACCGCCACACACACACACACACACACACACACACACACACACACACACAGATTCCCAAAGGCCACATTTGCAGCTGGTTTGGAAATATCCCTGGGACAAGGCTTCATACACATGGTCAGTTTAGACAAAAAAGCAGAGAACAGGTGAAAAGAGTGAACTCAGGGGGCTGGAGATTTAGCTCAGCGGCATAAGCACCTGCCTTGCAAGCAGGCAGTCATGAGTTCGATCCCCGGTACTGATAAAAATGAAAAAGACAAAAAAAAAAAAAAGAAAGAAAGAAAAGAGTGAACTCAGATTCCTTCCCAACAAATTCTATTTTATTGCTGTTGCTATTGTTGTTTCTTGAAACATAACTATGTAGTTCAGACTGGGCTTGGATTCACAGAGATCCTTTTGCCTCAGCCCAGGGTTTTGCCTCCACACCTGGCTGAGCCAAAAATATTTAAGACAAACAGTACTATCCTCCTCACACCAAAGTTTAAACACCTCTTTATGACTATGATAAAGAAATGTTAGTGTCTGGGGAACTATGGAATATAACCACACACAAATACTCATTACACCTCAACAGATAGATGGTATCAGCCCATTCCATTGATAAATGCAATTAAGGAATCTAGAAGTCTTCCTTCCCCTAGCTTCCCTACTGAGAAGGGCTTCCAGCAAATTTGTTGCCCAAATAAAAGGTCAAGTTCAGCTCCATCTCTTCCAGGAAAACTTCTCATTTCAGTGCACCAGTCTGAGAAACTGAACCCACAGTATTACTACTGGGGTCACAGATGAGACAACTAAGCACACCTCTCTTACACCCACTCAAAACTAGTGATTTATCACAGGTAACCAATGCCAGCAGAGACCACCAACTGTTTCTCTCTGCCCCACAGTGCTTGATAAATAATTAAGAAAAAAAAATCCAGAAAAAAATTTGCATAGAAAATACAAAACGGCACAGCAGCAGCAGATACAGAACAAGAGGTAAAATGGTATAAACCCTCAAATTTTTAGCTGGTGGCAAAACAGATGCTTGGCAGAAGCAGCTATAATTGCTATCTAGGGCTGGGGGATTTAGTTCAGTGGCATAAGTATCTGCCTGGCAAGCGCAAGGTCGTGAGTTCGATCCCTGGTACCCAAAAAAAAAAAAAAAAAAAAAAAACCTGGTATCTAGACCCCAGAAACGCATCTTATGTGTCGTCATACCCTCTGCTTGGTTCCTAGTAGAGTTGGTGAACAGGCTTCAACTCGCACTTTGCAAATGAAGTTTGGGAAGCGGATTTGTTCAGTCTGACTTCCCAGCGCTCTGTATTTCCCATGGCTATACAATCAGCAAATATTTCCTGGCTGTCTTCCATGTAAAGTTTTGGGGATCAGAAATATGAAGTGGGGCTCAATCCTTACCTTCAAGGAGTTCACATGCACTGAAGAGGAATTACATGTTTATCCACACAACAAAACTGGTATTAGGGCCCAGAAGGACTTGAAAAAGTACTACAAACTTGGGGGTGGGGAACAAACTGGAGATGGGGATCTCAAGTGCTACAAACTTGAGATGGGGAACAAACATTCCTGATAAGAAGTGGGAGAGAAAAGAAAGAGAAAGCACTCAGCTGGACCCTAAACTTAGGCACACATTATTGAACTCCAGAAAGTGTACATGCAGAGTTACTTAGAAAAAGAGCAGAACAATTTCTCTGAAAGGGTGGTGGTGGAGAGGTCATCTGGTCATTCTGTCTGCCTAGAACACTAAATGCTGCTTCCCGGTAATAAAAAGTAAGTGTCTATCTATATACCCTCACTCAATGGGATGTTTAGGAGCCAAATTCTGGCATTCACAATACTCAGAGCAGTGTAGGAAACAGCTCCTCCAGGTCAAAAATAGCAAATTCAAGGGAACTGGTTGCTGTCCTTGTGTTTACTTTTTACCATCTCTGTGGATCACTTTCCAAAGGCCCCTGAGTGTGATGGGATAAACAGGTCTGTGTCACTTCCTGGTTCTCAGGCCTTCTGCTGCATTCCCAGGAAGTCTGGGATGGCTGCCTATTTAAAAATAAACTTTACAAACTTGCCCAAAATCCCAACCTTAAACCACCCTTCTATTTCAATTTCACTAAAATTAAAAAGGGTAGAAAGCAAGAAATGAGAAAAAAATGACCACAAATAACAAATTCCTCAGGTCAAAGCAAAAAAAAAAAAAAAAAAAGTTTGCAATTGAGCTCAAGGTCAAGAAACTTGAATTGTAATTGTTTTATCTCCCTAGAAAAACTGACCTTAGCAAGCAAAATGCTTATCTCTATACAACAGCTGCTTCAGCATATCTTAATCTCAATGTAGTTATCCAAGACCTTTGTGGACTCAGTTTTCTGATCCATAAAATAACACCAATAGTACCTATTTCCCAGGACTTTTTAAAATATTATATGGGAAAAAATACACAAATAGCATATGGCTGGGCACACTGAGTCATGAAAAAATGGTAATTTATTATTAGTCATCATATCCATCATTATTTTCATCATCATTGAAAACACAGGGTTAGAACAAAGGATCTCTACTTAAAAAAGAGTTTTCAGGCTCCATATCCTATGACTCTTAGTCTCTCTGTCTCTCAAGGGGGCTGAATAAGAAAAGGAAAACAAACTGGGTAAAGTATGATACTCAAACATATATCCTCAACCTTTATGTTGGGAACAGTATGATTAGGAAATCCATCAATGAGAAAAATGGATTTCTGGGTGAATGATTGGGGATGACAATGCGCAATGTGTGTACCATTGTTGCCCTATGACTGCTGTGCGTTGAAACTTTATTGTAGTTTTTTCTTCTTCTTCTTCTTCTTCTTCTTCTTCTTCTTCTTCTTCTTCTTTTTTAAACTTCTTTTTATGCTTGAATAAAATAGATTTTTTAAAAAATGGATTAGATGGTGGATAGATAGCAGCAGCTACAGAGGCTCTCTGAGATACCCGCTTAGAATCCAGGAATGCTGCAGTATGAGGAGTCCTAAGCGAGGGAAAATACACCCTGCTGTCCCAGGAATGAACCTAAGCTAAGAGAAACCAACTGGAAATCCAATCCTGGTGCTGTAACAGGAACAGATAAAATCTCAGTGCGGAAGCTAGAACCTGCGCCACTGGAAGCCGCGATCTGAATTTCCTGCTGCCGCTGCTGCGTCCAAATCTGCAGGGCAGGGAGAGAGACGCCCCAAAGCTCTGAGAGCAGGAATCTGCGAACGGAGTTGAGAGTGGGACTAGCAGGGATCCCTACATGGACTTGTGGTGAGTGAGGGGTACAGGGACCCTTGCATAAAGTAGGAGGCTCCAGCAAAGGACATACTGGGATCGGGCAGACTTGCCGGAACAGGGCGCTGCAGGGACTTCAGTCACATATTCCCCTCTCAAGCAGGATTGGTGGGGAGTACCTGGCCTGCATGACACCACTGACTTAGACCCAGTAGGCGAGCCCAACACAGGTCCCAGCGCCTGGAGGTGAACCCTAGCAGTGAAGCCTTTGGTAGGTTGACCTGGAGGGGCGGGCCCAGCAGAGGCTGCCCAGGTCTGTGTCTCCCTAGTACACTGTGGAACAGTGGGTGGGAACACCTAGCTGGCGCAATTCAAACAAACTGTAACTGAAAAAGAGAGAAAAACTGGGCCTCCCACATTCACTTGTACGGAAGGAACAAAAAGTATGGGAAGAGGAAGGAACAAGAAAGGGTCCTCAATCTCCAATCCTGCAAACACTGATCCAGGAAAGGGAAATGCAAAGGAAGACAGAAAACACGCAATATGAGACATGGCACCAATAGACATAAAGCAATATCTCCAGAGCCTCATAGACGAGTTTAAAACTGAAGTATTTAATGAAATAAAGCAAGAGATAAGTAGAATAGATAGAGAAATGCTAAGCATCGCCCAAGAAAAAACAGATGGTGGAATGGAAGAACAGAAAAAAAGGGAAGAATTGTTTGATGGAGAAAATAGAGGAAACGTGAATAGAATACATGAAGCAGGTTCAAAGAGATTACCAGGAAACTAAAAACTCTATTGAAAGCTGGCATAACAGCTTGAAAGAAACTAAGGATAGATTATCTGAATTGGAGGGCAGACTTGTAATATGGGAGCATGAAATGAAAAACTTCTTAAAAATAACAAGAAAACAAACAGCAATAATACAAAGACTACAAAGAGGATCTACAACCTAAGAATTAAGAACATAAAAGAAGAAGTAGGGACGCAAACAAATGGACTACAAAAGCTATTCACAGAAATAATCCAAGAGAATTTCCCTAATTTAGCAAAAGGTAAAGATACTCAGATATATGAAGCATACAGGACCCCAGCCACCTACAACCCAAACAGAGCTACATCCAGGCATATAATAATCAAAATTCCAGAAATCCAATATAAGAACAGAATACTAAAAGCCGTCAGAGACAAGAAACTTAAAAGGGAACACCCATCAGAATTACAGTAGACTTCTCGGCACAAACCATCAAATCACAAAGAGCATGGGGGGAAATAATTCAAGCTTTCAAAGATAACAACCTCCAGCCAAAATTGATATATCCTGCACAATCCCTAGAGATTGATGGAAAAACAAGGTGCTTCCAAGATAAAGAGGAACTAAGGGAATTTGCAACCACCAATTCAACTCTACAGAGAATACTGCAGGATATTCTAAAAAAGGAAAATACCAAGACTTCAGAAACAGTGGCAGAGAGGCCACAATGAATGGAGCAGAAAGTGAAATGAAGAAGACAAACTGACAACAAACGACAGAAAAGAGCTCAACAGAAATGAGGCAGAGAAGATTGGATGGTAGGAACAGCTATTTTGGAGAAAACAAGACATCATAATAGCTAGTGCTGATTTAGTATCATCTTGCTTTGAAGTCCCATCAAGCTTTTATTCTTCTGTCTCCATCGGTCTTAACAGGTTGTATCTTATTGGATTTTATTATATGTGATAATATAAGCAAAAACTTTTATAGACAAGGAGATTATACAGAAACCATTGTTCATTTTCTGATAGTTGGTTCTAAATACCCTGTAATACTGTCATTCTCTTGAGTGGTTTTACATTGTCTTGATATGTTTGGTGCTACAGTATACGAAGTTATACTCAAAGATTTCAAGGAAAGAGACATTATGGTAACTACTTTTATGTCAGGATGTCTTGTGGTGAAACACTATTTTGCTTAAATGGTTATGCTTTGACCTGAGTTGTTTTGTTGTTATGCCCTCTTTTATCTCAGTCTCCTTTGTTAAATTATTTACTTTTTTATTTTTTTCTTTTTAATTAAGGGAAAAATTTTAAAAAGCAGGATATATTATTATAGTAACCCATTTTGATTTCCTATTAACTTGATTTCAAACCCTGTATAGCCCTCACCATCTTGCTTTGATTGATTTTCCTCTATTCTGCTTTGCTTGATAGTACCAAGTTCGAAAGTATAGGCAACAACTGTAAAGACAATAAGATTCATTATGATGCCCATTCCGGTTGACTATTATCTTCTTTTAAAGCCCTGTAATGTCTCCAATGTTTTAGTTTTATTCTTTACTGTTTTGTTCAACTTTATTATAACTGATGATATACGCAATTCTTTTTAAGATAGCAAAAGGCAGTATGGTAACCATTGTTGATCACCTAGTATTTTGTTTTTACATTATCTATTATGTTCATCCTTTTGATTTGACTGACACTGTTCTGTTATGTTACATTTGGTTTTACTCTCTTCACAAAAAAAGTAATAAGAACTGTGGGAGTAATAAAACCCAAAATGTGTAATTGTCATTGTACAAAAGAGAGGAAAAGAAAGTGCTCTCAAGGACATAACTGCATGTATATTTAAGTGTATAAGATAGATAACCATATTACTGAGTTTTGTTGGATCATTGAACAAAACTGTTTCCAGTCTCACTGTTTGAAAGTCCACTTTATATGCTTTAATTTTGTAACTTGAACAACTATTTCTAAGATAACAATATGTAATCTATTAACTAGTGATTTCCTATTATTTTTTCTGAAATTCTGTATAACTTGTACCCTATTTCTGGTTTTTTTTCTCCTTAATAAAAAAAAATGGATCAAATCAGTCCCTCCAATGGAAAACTTTTGCCTATTCCTGCATTAAATCTACAGCACCGTAGCAAAGTTCACCCATAACATACCAAACTGCCAACATTCTCCAGGCCAAGAGAGTGTAAAAAGAATTAAGATAGATAGATAGAGAGAGCGAGAGAGAGAGAGAGAGAGAGAGATAGATTAGATAGACGTCAGCTTCATACACTGCAAACATGTACTAATCGAAATTTAAAGCATACAAAAAAAATCTTCCTGTATCAGCATAACCTTACTTCAACTGTGTAAAAGGATTTTCCCAGCATCTCCTTACGGCAGCCCTAAAAGCACAGCACAGTGGCCACCCACACATTTCCAGTAATAACCAATCTTACCACCAAGCATTTTTTTTAAAAGGGGTCTTCTTAATATAACATTAATCTGACCAAAGATCAAATGCCCTTCCCCAAAATCAGACTGTAATCAGGACTATTCAGCTTTACCAAGGGCAAGGTACTGATCTATAATTACACTCAAATGAAATAAACATTTTCTCTGATTCATTCACTTCACTGTGTAATGTGGCAAATGTTATAGAAACACTATAGAAATATCAAAGCAAAAGCATAAGATTAACAGGTAAAATATTTTTAATGAAATTCACTGTAGGAACTAGGCTTGATGGTGCATTTGTAATCCCAGCATTTGGCAGCCTAAAGTAGAGCCCTGGGGTACATAGTGAGTTCCAGGCCAACCCACACTACAAAGTGAGACCCCACCTCAAAACAAAAACAACAACAAAAACACATCACTCTAAGAGGGCTAGAGAATTCAAGATCAGGTAGCCACATGTGGTGAGTTCTTGCTGTTGGGGACTCTGCAGGGCTCCAAGACAGCTCAAGGTATCACATGGTCAGATACAACATTCTAACTCTGGTCTCTCTTTCTCTTTAATTTTAAAAACAAACAAACAAAAAGCACTAATGCAATCATGAGCACTAACATGAGAGCAATAGCTCTCGTAACTTCATTTAATCCTGATCACCTCCTGAAAGCTCTACCTCCAAATACCATTAATATACTGTATGACTTTAGGGAAGAAGTTTTCAACATATGAATTCTGGAGGACATACCCTAAGCACAATAGGTCCTACATTTCTGACAGAAGTGACTGAGTAGATGGTAGAGCCTACGGTAGAAGGAAGGCAGGTGAACAGCACGAGTAGAATTCAAAGTGAGAAAGTGGAAACAGTAAGGACAAACTTATTTGGGAGGAGAGGTTGGAAAGGGAGAAAATGGACCAGATCATTGCTAGAGGGAATGACCAGGTCATAGCTAGACTTACAGGCTGTGCCCTTTCAGTTAACCCAATGATTTTAGTTCCTGAATAGTCCAGACAGCTCAGAGAATCCCCTATGGAGTGTCTTTCAAAACCAACATTACCACATACTATAGTTGGCCAAAGCTAGTGAGAGGGCAGTTGCCCTAACAGAGAGGTGTCTGCTTCCTTGGTGTTCAGGAAGAGCAAACAATGTCTCTCCACCCAACGTGCTCTTCTCTGAAACTGCTACCTCTTCTGTGAGATCCACTGGAGAAGAACAGTCTATCTAAAAGCAGAGCTAAAGGAGTGACCTCCCCTCTGGTATCCTTCAGACCTTACAGTTCTCTACAGATTTGTCCCTAGTTTCCACCATTTCCTACATTCCTATTCAAATGTCACCTGAATACTTACCCTCAGATTCAGGTTTAGGAGTTTACAAACATGTTCCTCACCTCCTATCTATTAAAGCTTAGTTCATCTATCAATGAGGTACACACCCAAGCCAAATTAGACTGTCTTCTGGCTCCAAATGTTTCCTCTGTGACTGAGTTTCAGTAAGTCTCCTAATTCATAACCAAATCATGATTTTTTCTATGTTCTTCCTCACAAATTACCCAATTTCTTGTGAGCTCTCTCAAGGATGGACTGTGAAGCCCAGCTGAAAGCAGGAAGTAGGAACTTGACAACTGTTCCTTCCTGTTGATGGTCTCATGCCCCTGCCAATCTGTGATGAAGGACGAAAAAAATCATAAAATAATGAATTTGGTATTTGCCTCTAGACCAAGTTTCTGGACTTATTCATGAAGCACTGTCTTGAGAACTCACTGACTTCATTCAACACAAATACTGAGTACCTGCAAGTATCAAACTACATCTATGGTACAACAGGAAAAAAGCACAAGCCCTTAAAAAGTCAACAAACAGATTTCTTGTATTGTGTAAGTGTAAAAGGAACATATACAACTAACTACAATATGCAGTAGACAATAAAAGGACATGGCAGATAGACAGCCAATGTGTCAAAGACAAAACAGGAAGGTAGGCTGGAACCCAGAAGAGGGAAGTGAAACACATAATTTATAGGGTTAATCACTGTGGTCTAATAAAGAGTGTGTGGGTTTTAGAATCAAAGGGGGAGTTCAAATACTGACTGCCTCTCATTTCTCATCAGGCCTAGGCTTTACTGGTTTACTGTTGTGAGCCTCTGCTTTTTCTCATATAAAACTACAGTAACTAACAGTACCTACTTCACAGTACTGCAGTCAGCTAGACATGTGCATGCCTATAATTCCAGCAAGCTGGAATTGAAAGCTGAGACAGAAAGATCACTGCAAGTCCAAGGCCAACCTGAGCTACATGGTGAATTTAAGACTAGCCTAAACAACACAGTAAGACACTGTCTCAAAAACTGCAGAGTCAAGGATTCACATTTTTTAAAAGTTCAATATATTAACTGACCCAGAGTAAGGCCAGGTAAGACTAAGGGGCCTATCACACACAGACTTAATGATCTCTCCTGCCCTCCACGGGGCTGACCAGACCTGACTCAAGGGTAGGCAGACAGTCAAGCAGTCCTCTACTGCTGACTAGTTAGTTCACTTAATTGACTGAATTTAATGGGCCATGATCAGAAGGTATAGGAAAAAGGCTCCGAGAAGGCTCTTATGTCAGATTTGTGCCAGTATAATACCTACAGCACACACACCAGTCTTTTGGTTAAAAAAGTAAAGCATCAGATACATGTAAAAATTACAAATTATACTACACATACAACATGTGATATGCCACTCTTTTGGACAAAGCAGGTATTTAATGATTGGTGAACAGACACATGATCTGAACCTGGCTGAATTTTCAATAAAATCTGTCTAAATTGATCCATTAACAAGTAAAAACAGGAGCAAACCACCACCCAAAGTTAAAAACTGGTCTGAGGTAACAGGTTAAGGCACTCTGACCTGCAGTCATGATGGAATATCAGAGATTAGATTTACTCTTCTTCCTTAAATGATCAGAAAACCAGACAAAACATATGAATAATGGTTTTCAGACACTGGAAACAGGTAACAGAGGGTAATGATCTTTGAGAAAAGGGGAAAAACAGTGAACCCCATATTTCATAAGAATTCAAATTTCCCCAGGCCACAGGACAGGAAGTAGAGACCTGAGAATACAGCAACCTTCTTGTGTTGATCCGAGAAGCCAGGAAACCAAGGTGACCAGAATTTACAGGACAAAGTAACTGAGATATCAGCAGGGCAGAGTAACTGAGAAATGGGTGCTTCAAAGAGAAAAGGTACCACTGTTTGGCTTGGTGGTAGATGCCTGTTATCTCAGCACTTAGGAGGCCGGGGTGGGAGGATCGCCATGAGTCTAAGGCCAGCCTGAGCTACACAGTGAGTTGAAGGCCAGCCTGAACTATAGAGTGAGACGCTATCTCAAAAAACAAGGCTGGGGTTTAGCTCAGTGGCTTAAGTGCCTGCATGAGTTCCATCCCCGTACCAAAAAAAAAAAAAAAAAAAAAAACCAGTAACAACAACAGAAAGACAGGGACACAGATAAAGGGAAAGACCCCTCCAGAAATCTACAGAGGATCCCTCTGAGTTTTGGTCTGAGTATTGCTGTGTGGCCCACAAAGAAACTAGCAAGGCTGTATAGTAGCACAGCCCCCGACCTCACTCAGAGCCAAAATAGTTCACGCTCCCACCACCCAAAGTGGCAAGAGTGGCAAACTCTTTAAGCATCTTAGCTCTCACTAAAGACTGTCCTGGACCGGCCCCAAGAAAGCATAAAAGCAAGCCTTGAAAAGATCAAACTGCTTCCAAGTAAATGAATTGCTCCTGAGAACAAAGCCCAAAGTCCATGTTTAGAGGAAAACAAAACATTTTAGCATGTAGCAAGGTAAAACTCAATGTCTGGCTTCTAGTCAAAAATTAACAAGCACGCAGAAAAACAACACCCACAATTAATCAAACAACAGCTACAGACCAAGAAATTCCATAGATAGAACTAGTAGACAAAGATATTAAAATCTGCTGCAAATATACTCCATCTATATTAGAAGAGGAAGGCACGAACACAAATAGAAGACATAAAAGTTCAAACTAAACTTCTAGAAAGAAAAATAAAAATATATGAAATGCAAAGTATACAAGATAGGATTGATAGCAGATTAGATAATGCAGAAGAAAAAACTAGTGAACATGAAAATATAGCACAGAAAATTATAAACTCTGAGAAAAATACTGAAAAATAAATGGAATGAACTGTGGGGCAGTACGGAGTGGCCTAACAACTGGAATGAGGAGAGGCGGCATAGCACAGAAATATTTTGAGGAAATATATAGGAAAAATATAACAAAAAGGTGTTCAAATTTTTATAACAACTATAAAGCCACAGATTTTTGATGAAAAATAGGACAAAAAAGTATTCAAATTTTTATAACAACCATAAAGCCACAGATCCAAGAAGTTCATCAAACCCCAAAAAGAAACACAAGAAGACACAAGGAAGCAGGGCAAGATGGGTGGCGCACCTGTAACCCCAGCACTTGAGAGGCTGAGGGAAGTGGATCATCGTGAATTCCAGGCCAGCCTGGGCTTTATAGTGAGTTCAACACCAGCCTGAACTACATTGTGGGCCTGTCTCAAAAATAAAACAAAAGAACACACAAGGAACATCACAATCAGAATACTGAAAACTAATGATAAAAAGAAAAACTTAAAACCAGCTGTGGAGCTAAAAGGACATTCTACACAGGGACAAAGAATTATAGCAGACTTATTGTGAGAACTAATACAAACTAGGAGTCAATGGAGACTGTGCCATCACTTACTCTTTTTATGGTTTGCGTCCTGTAGTATTTTTAAGGAGCCTTACCACTGAGCATGAAAGTGGGGATTCAGTGATCCTAAAAAACACCTGCAAATACAACATCCTCGGGAGAGTGATAGTGGATAAAGTATTTACCTATGTCTACAGAACATTACAGATGTGCAACCCTGTGCAATCTTGTAGCAATAATGCTTAACACACTGGAAAAGAGACAGAAAAAGTCTGTAAGAAGATTTGTTCTATCACAGAATAAAATCTAGTTAAAAATGAAAACTAAGGAGTGAGGGAGACTATTATAGTGTATGGTATGAAAAGGCTCCTTCCCTTCCCTTTACGTGTAGATGTTTGATGGTTAATGTGCCTGAATGCTAATTTTTTTTCGAATGAAAGAATACTCTTCAGGCAGAAGCATGTAAGAATAACTTAAGATCTAAGTGAGAATCAAGTAATTCTTAGCTATGTAAACCAGTCCAGGGCAGCAAAATTCCCTTCTCATCAGATACCCTAGGCCAGTGTCATACTCTTCAGAACTAGCTAGCCTGGTACTCTACAACATTCCATGCTACAAAGTTGGCAGTGTAGCTTTCCCATGTATGTTGGTCTGGTTTCTCCTTATGGCAAAGCCTGAAGGTAATTTGGGTGGTCACAATGGGGGTGGGGGTAAGCACTCCTGGTAGCTAATGAGTAGGACCAGGGATGGTGCTAAAGATTGTATCATGCACAAGACAGTCCCCCAAATAAATTACTTGCTGCAGCTGAGAACCCTAGCCTAAGTTTGACTGAACTACAGAGATGTCAGATCAACCTTGTGGTACAGATACTATGAATACCTTCACACCACTAGAAACCCTTCAGTCCTATAACCAGGTCCCCAAACCAACATTCTGATCCCCTTATCATCTAACTTGGGCTTACATTCTCTCAGACAGAAGAGCTTAGGAATGAAAGCTCTGCCACTGGCTATGATTCCTGACATGCCACAGAACTTTTCTGAGTCCATTTCTTCCAAATAAAAGGAAAGATGATGTAAGAGTTCTTCTACTTCTAAACTTATTTTACAAATGTTAGGTAGTGCCTCCTCTATTTACAATGAACCAAAGAGAAAGGGTAAGTCGTCTTGTATTTATGTACTCCCCACTGTCAAAAGGACAGAAAGTCTTACACAGTAGAAACCAACCTCAACCAACAGAAGTACAGAGAAGTTGACAGCTCCAGTTAAAAGGGACCCAGGAATCCAGATATGATGGTGCATGCCTGTAATCCCAGCACTCAGGAGGCTGAGGCACAAAAATTGCTGTGAATTCAGGGCAGCCTGGGCTATACAGCAAGACCATGACTCAAACAACGACAAGAAAAGAAAGATGGTGAGGAGAAAAGGCAGTATCTGCAGACATTAGCAAGCTCAGGCACTCCACTTTAAAATATGAAAGTCCTCCATACTAACCTGTCACCTATCCTCCTTATGTCGATCTCTTTGATCAGATATTAAGTCCATATTCTTCCCTAACCGCACCTCCTTGCACAACACATACACACAAGCTTGGACCCTCCAAACACAGTTACTAAAAGTGTTTGAGGCAGATTACTCTCATTTTGCATCTTTCCTCCATCACACAAGGCCAGAGAGAGACCAGCTAGAAGCACAAACTAAATTACAGTTCTTTTCAAATAAGTGGTTCAGCCCACCCCAGTTGTTCAAAGATTTCCTCAGGAGAGGATGGAAAACAACTCGGGTGAATCGAAGGTACAAACTGACTCTGACAGGAAGAGGCTCACTACTTGAATCTGAACAGAGATAGAGAGAAGTCCAAAGTTTCTTTTCTAAAGGCTTTTCCCCCTCTACTCCTGCTGCAGTCTTTTATTACATAAAGATTCTTGCTGGCATGGGCAAAAGGGCAAAGCACACAAAGAGAGAGTAAACAAAAACGCAGCGAGAGTTCTCCTCACAGAGTGGTGGGAGGCAACAGCGAGAACAAAACCATGACTTGGCCACCATGAAACCTACCAGAGCTCTGGGGTAGGGGACAGGCTGGGGGGGAGGGGGCTGCATTCTGCTGTGCCGTCAGTGCCGTCAGTGCCGTATGGACATTAGGTGGCTGCTTAACCCACACTCCCTCCCCTGCTCAGGTCTTTCATTATAAGTAGCAGATGGCCCAGCCCCAGGGAGCTGGCAGGGGACAACAATCTGCATCTGCCTGCAGGCCCCTCCTTCAGGGCTGGAGATGGAAAGGAACAGGACAAAGTTGAGGCCCACAGCCACTTACAAGAGTCCTGAGGGTAGGTATGGAAATTTCAATGCTTTGCCCCAGTGAGGTGCATCTCAAAACAATGATTGGCTTTATTGAGAAAGCCTGGATAGGGTGGGAAGCTGGGGTTGGAGGACCAAACACAGCTCCAAGAGTGCACTGCGGCATGCTGGCCCAGGAAGTATCATTCACTCATTCAACACTTACAACACTGTACCAGCACCTAGAAAAACAGTGACCGCAGACAATCTGCCCTCAAGAAGTCCATGGTAAGGTCAGGACAAACAAGAAAACAGATGGCAACATAAAGGGGAAGTGCTCAACACAGGGCAATGTGGTGGCATCAAGTGGGACACTCATCAGTTTGGGAGCATGCAGCAACCTAAACTAGCTCTGGCTTTAAGAAGGCAGAGAAGAAAGAGGTGAGTAAGAAATTGGGGAGCAGGGGAATCATTACAAGAAAAACTAGCACATGCCAAAGCTGGAGGCAAAAGAGAACTGGGAACTAACTGTTCCAACCTTTGCTGCATCTGGCCACCTTCACCAGGAGTGGACTCCTAGTTTTTCATGGAATCCTAACCATTACTGCCCACAGGAACACTGGGATCATTTTGTAAAGTCCAGTCTACCCATTTAAAGAGGGAAAAAAACTCTACCCTAGCAAGGGTTCATGGCATTGCTGGGAACACAGGGCTTCTGAATGGCCAAACCAGCAGCCAGTCTCCTCTACTCATAGCGTTCCCTCGATTATTTCCCAGTCAGAATCTGACTGCTGAATGAGCCATCTTAGGACACAGCGGCAGCCCTACAACAGCTATTACTGAGCCAAGTCCGTTCTCAGTGCCCAAGGAAAGGCTCCCTCAGGCTCCTGCCAGATAAAGAAGTCAGCAGTACTGACCTCTAGGAACTCCAGAGCAGCTGGAGCAGCTCATGAGAAAAACAGTGCCTACCTCCCTCTTCTGGAAAGAAAGCAAATTGGTGTATGTATGTGGCAGTACCTGAGGTAGGCTGGGTATGCTATACCATTAGTGGAAATGGGACCCCCTTAGAAATGAAGGGTTGTTCTAAAAGTTGAGGCAAATTATCATCCAGTGCAGAAATCTGAGATGTGCCAAACCATGTAGGCTTAAGATTCCCCAACCTAGTTCCCCAGCAGCCCACCTCCCTCCTCTACTTGATAGCACTTACCTATGTATAAAAAGCAGTCCTTTCAGAAAAATTGCTGGCCTCTCTTGGCCTGCCCTTGGAAAATAGGCCATCTGCCAGGGGTCAATACTGTGGCATGTCAAGGCCTAGCAGCCTGTACTGTCATCGTGATCCCACCTGCAGCAGCATTTGCTCTGCTGTGCACCCTGGCCTTCAGCCCACCACCCACTCTGGATCAGAGTGTGTAGAGGGTGTAAGAAAGTATTCATTAACTTTTTGAGTGCAACCCTCTATAGAACCTAAATAGAAGGTACAGTTATCCAACTGCCAAAACAGAATTCTTCCTCTGCTTATAACAGAGTGCCAGCTGATTAAAATTGAAGAAAGAGGCTGAAGGGCACCAGTGTTAGGACCATTTAACCAACTACCTACTGTCTAGGGATCATCAGCTCTGAGACCTTAAAGCAAGGGTGTGATAAGAAGATCCAACTGGCGAGAAATCCTTGCTTTACAGAACACCCTGAAATGCTGCCTCTGACAGTACACTCCAGTGCAATTCCCAAAGACTGTGAGGGCTAGTGGAGTGGCTCAGTGGTAGACCCTTTACCTAGCATGCAAAAGACTCTGCATTTAATCCCCACACTACAAAAAAGTTTAAAGGAAAAGACATTTTGCAAAGGCTGACTGATACCAGCTGGGAACATTGAGGGCAAGAAAGTAGCCTGTTGTACAACTGACTTAACTCTGGAGCCAAAAAGCCATGTTCAGTGCTGTAAAACAAAGGACTCATAAGTAGGAACTTGTGATCTAAATCCTTCACATCTGCCACAAGAACCTCTGGGAGGAGATGAGTGGGTGTGTACTTGTATATGATGACACTATATCCGGACTTCTTCCTCTCCAAACAACAACCCTTCAGAACTAGCTCTCCTGAAAGGCAAATGCAGTCTTCATTTTCAGGAAACTACTTTCTTTTTCTCTTTTCTCTCTGCTCTTTGAAACTGATGAATGACCCCTAGGGGAAGAGCAGCTGTAAATACAGGAAAGTATGGAAAGCAGTGAAAAATGAGGCCAGCTATGAGTTGTAGAGAACCCACTGTACTATGCTATTAAGGCCTTCTCAAAACAAGCCACACACCCTATTTCGAACAAAACACAACTTCATTCAAAGCACTTCTCTAAACTACAACATTTAGACAAATGATTTCTCTATACTCCAGGACTGCTTCATTCTCTAGTTGACACTAAGACCCTTACATATGAAGTGAGCTGGCAAATTTCTTTCTCAGATCCTTAGAAAAATATACATTCATAATTCAGTGTACCTGCTCCTGAGTGTCCATAATCATTACCACCACTAGGGACTGACTTCTGTAAACTGCTCCAACATTTGGACAAATTTAAGTCATCTTTTTAGGCACACTAAGGCCATAGTATTTGCTAGATGAGAACAAAATGGGAGGAGATTATAAATCTAAGACAGCTGGCCTGGCTCCTGCACTTACTGCTTTCCAAAAGCAGCAGCCGTTTTCAAAGGCTCAGGAATCTGGGAAATCACCCACTGGTTTGTTCTCTCTCTCATCACAGTAGTGGGGATGCCACTCAAAGTCCACTTGCCAAAAATGAAAGATCTAAAGAGGTTTCTTGAAAGAGTTTGTAGGGAGAAAATTCAAATGTTTTATTTTCATACATGTTACAGTTTCAATTAAATAGGTTTTGCCTTTACATCCTCAGTTTCTACCTAGAATTCCAGTAAATTTAGATATACCCCTAAATTTAAACTGGAAGCCAAGAAATGGAGCTCGCAGAAAGTGATCCCAGCCCACAGAAGTTACC